ATTTTTATTATATATTATTAAAAATTAAATAAAAATATTTTATGATACTATATGAATATCATTCTATAGTATTTTACAAATAGTATTAACATTTATGTAATATATTAAATACAATATTTTAGAGCATTCTACAAATGTTTTGTTTATATAGTATACTAGAACATACTATTCTAAGGTGTTTTACAAATGTTTCATTTATACAGTATACTAAAATTGATATTTTTAATATATTATTTGAACATTTCATTTATATAGTATAATGAAATACTTTTATATAATTCCAGATAATTTTTTTAAAATTAATTTCTGATACTGGTTAAATAATCAAAAATTGATAAATTTTTTGATAATTTATATTATAAAATTAGTTGACAATTTGTGAATTACCTGAAAATCAACTAAAATTAACTGTTTAATTTGTAAATTAAACTATTTAATTTTTTAATAATTTTTATATAATTTTTGAAAATAAAAATTAAAAAATTAATTATTTTTATTTTTTTTTATTGGTAAAATATTAAAAATATTATTAAGTAAATTTATAATCAAGAAAGAAAAACACCAATTGAAGATCTAAAGAAAAGATGAACATGTAAATTTTGAATATTTGTTTACAATTTAAATATCTATCTTTTTCTTAATTTGTAAACTTTAGGTTTAAAATTTTTTCAATATGACATTTCTTTCTTAACTATAGTTTTACTTAGCAACATTTTTGTAATTTAATTTTAGTAGGTGTATTAGTTATCAGCTATAATTTTAGTTTAGTAATGTTTTTGATATTTTATTAATAAAAAAAATAAAATCAATTTTTTTATTTTCATAATTAAAAATTATTTAAAAATTATCAAAAATCAGATGGATGATCTGCAAATCAGACAGCTGATTTTTAGGTGATTTACAAATTGAATAGCTAATTTTAGCCAAAGTTGTTATCAATTTTTAATCATTTGACTAGTGTGATTTTTGAGATATTTTGTCTTTTTAAGATTTTTGAGATAACTATTTTATATATGAAAATAAAAAAAAAAAATCCAGTTTAATGTAAGAATTTATCTAGATGATTAAAAAATTTTTGATTTAAGTAAAATTAAATTGTTTTCTATAAAAAACCATTTCAACTTTCATGTTTCAAAATATTTCAATTTAATATGATAGTTTATTTTGCATGCAAGTATAATCTCTACTATAATTTTAAGTCACTACTTTGATTTCAGGTTGCAATTTTAAGATTCCAATTTTTAATTGATTAAGTCAAAGGTTTGAATTTTGACATGTATAGTTATAACAAATATAATTATAAATATTTGTAAATAGACAAAAAACAAGTAGATATAGACAAAAATAGATATATTCACAAATAGACAAAAAAAAATAAGCAAGTTCAATTTTTGGGTATATGTGTTATAATTTTGCTAATTTTTGAAGATTGTACTTACAATAAATTTTGAAAATAATAAATTTCAAAAATTAATAATTATATGTAAATATTAAGTTTAGGTTAGGGTTAAAATATGATATTTAGATGTAAAAAATTACAGAAAGAACATTTTCTTATGATTTGAAAGATGATTTCATAATCAAATTGGGAGATACAAGCCATTTTTTAAAAGAAAGTTTCTTGATTTTTAATCAGTTATCTTATTGAGCACCGTTGATGTGATTTAGTAATGTCATTTAAGTTTATTTAGATAATTAATTCTTATGCATATTTCGTAACGATCACATGATGAATAGATTTACTTTCCTTAAAAGTTTCCTTATTATCACATTTTCGCCACATTTTCCCCATATTTTCAAAAAAAAAGAATACTTTCGTTTGTTATAAAACATGCAAATATAGAATACACATGATAGATGTATTATATATGAAATCAAGGAACGATTTTGAACTTTATTACAAATTTGTAAATATATGCGCAAAAAGGGGGAATTGCAGTCGCTCACCTCCTGAATGTATTAATTAGAAGTTTACGCTACTAATGTGACGAATAAACAAATTTGACTCATTATGGTGATAATGTTTATGTAGTATAAAAAAAATCTTTATTGTGCTCATTCAATATGAATTCATTATATTAACATCTTGTAATACTATTGTTTTCATTTACGTCATATATACATAATCATAATCATAACCATAATGAAGACAAAAATAAGCCATTATATAAAATATTTATTGTCTATATACTTACACTTTAATTTGTATGAACCCATTTAATATTATTGAAACATTTTTTAGCCACAACTTCATTAATTTTCTATTTTTGGATTTTGCAATAATTGAAATCTTTTGTTGCATGAAACGTTACATCATATAACATATTTCATATAGCGTCCGAAAAAAGCGCGGCAATGATTAAAATGCACGGTTTAGAGTTTATATTTATTATTAAAGTTATTATTCTCTAAATATTTCACAATTATAATCTATATAAAACAAGTTGAATTTTTATAGTACACACAAGACTGCAGTATCTTATTCGCGAAATTGGCTTAAAATTTTATATTGTAAGGTGAAGAATAATAAACGTTTAAAGATATAACCAATCGGAAGAGAATATGCACTAGTATGAAAGCATAAAGGACGTACAATAACGAGAAAGGCATCACACAATTCATATATACAATACACACACAATATGCAAAATTATATTATATTATCTACTTTTCATATGAAACACGTTTGATTTCACGTCGAGGTTTTATTTTCAAAAATAAAATTATCTCATTCAAATTATGTAGTTAAATTCCATGATTGCTCAATAATTGCGCATTTAATCACCTATTTTTAATTTGTAATTAATAAATTATTTAGTAAAGGAGAAAATGAACGAAATTAAGTTTTATCAGACTTGTTGTGAATGTGGATGTAAGATGTTTCTGCAAGATAAAGGAATGTATTAACTCTTTAAAAATTGCCGATGCACAAAATTTGGGGTGAATAGTTTTAGAATGATTCACAATAATAGTGTAACTTTCAAAACGAAATTTGATGAAAAATTTGCACGAAACAATTTGCCGCCTGTTACCAAAGGTTGTATTAAACCTGAAAATTATGCACTGATCTACAAAGTTGGTGCTGTACTATTATTACTTATTATGCTTTTGAATGTTTCAGAATTCTCTTTTTTGTTTTCTAATTTCCAATAACTTTTCCGTCAAAATTTTGAAAATTATTATCGGAAAACATAGTCCATTGTTTGAATTTATGATAGTACAAAATACAAATTTGAAAAAACAAAAAAATAATTATTTGGGTGAAATGGTAAATCTTTTAAAATAAAAAATAAAAATAAATGTAAATGTATTGTACTGTACATGTATTTAATAATAACTTATTATTAAACGAATAAGGTTATAAGGTTATTCTAACTTGAACGGTCAACTTCTAGAATATAATTTGAAATTAAATAATAATATCCAAAATAGAGAAGTTTATGGGAAATCTCGAGCTGCTGGGTGAATATGAAGTATACGCGGACCCTTTATAGCTTTATTATTATTATTATTGGGACGCAAGTCATGATTCTGTCTTATTGTATATTTTGGTCCATCCAGTCGTTGCAAAACCATCATATCACTCAATAACGGTGCTTCAACATCAAAAAGATCCTCTAAATTTCCACTTGAGGATTGTTTCCGAATCGTAGTAATTGCCTTTTCCTCTGATGACATTTTACTATTACCATTAATGTTACTACTACTTTTATAACTTCTTGTTATTAATAAATCGATATGTCCTTTTGCTTTATCATCTATCTTTATATTAGATATTCCTTTAAAATTTTTACGTAGAAATGATAACACCAAAGGACGTATTTTAGCATCAGTTACTCGTTTTCTTGCATGTCCAGTAATAAATCTTACACAAGGAACTTGTTGAAGTGATTTCTCTGAATCTTTGAAACGTTGTAATATTGATGATGCTAATTTTACATCACACCCATGAAAATCAATCTGAATTAGATTAATCGGGTCCTTGGGATGCCCATCTCTAGGGGATTTTATTCTAAGGTCATCACCAAGATTTTTCCGCAAAATTTTTATATCTTCTTCCATAATAGATAACGCAGTACGGTAATAATTCAGTTTTTGAGAGTGAGTGTAAAATTCCTTGAAAAATATTATTCATTGTATAATTATACATTCGTAATACTATAATCTAACGAATGAACATTCGCTATTTAGCATTCATTTCTAAAATAGGATACAATTCTAAATGGCGCAGTTTTCAAGAAAATTTTCTTATAACAAATTGACTTTTTGTTTCTTTTTGAGTAGTTCAATTAGAATTTTATAATATAAATAAAATATGAATGTTTATAATGTAATTATTTTGCAAGTTCATTAAGCACATTTAATATATTATTATAATATATAATTTAATATATTTCATTGGGAATTTATCAATTAAGGTTAATATCATTAAAGAATTAAAAATATGTATAATAATTGTAGAATTAACGTAAGCAAGAATTATTAATAACAATTATAAAACGATTGACAATATGCATACCTTTCCTTTTTTTTAAATTATGTCAATAATAACAATTACATTACCTGCCTATTGTAAAATTTTCACAATTATCTTGCCTGTTTACAAATCATTTTTATCATATTTATCAAAAAATTTGTTTTTTTCATTCAACTTGTAAATTGTAATTATAAAAATTGTAGAATTAATAACAATAATAAAATTAATAATTATAAGTAAACAATATTAATAATAATAATTAATAATATTAACAAAATGTATAAAGATACCTGTTGCAATTCTTTATAAGTATTGTATCAAATGGTATTGGTTCTCTTAGTGTAGAAATTTACAGAGTAAAATTCTCACTTTGTGAAAATAGATAAAGTAAATGGAATAATTAGTATCAACAATAATTCCTAACTTCACAACAAGTGAAACAAGAATAAAACAATTCCAGGAAAGAAAAATATTTATTAGAATTTCTCATGTTTTATATAATAATACATTATATAATAATGATATAATAATAATAAAATAACAATGTAAATTAATATATATATAATATAATATAATATGAAATAAATAAAATAAAATAAATGTACTATATTTGAAATATAACAAAATTTTAAAGAGGAAGTTATGAAATGTTATAGGTACAATTAATTGTAACATTTTCTGTTTTATTTTAAATATTGTTAGTATAACAATTGAAATTATAAAATAATTAACAACATGTATGACAATTGCAGAATTAATGATATTAACCAAATGTATGACAATTGTATAAATCATATTAAAATTATATATAAGAATCTTTTTTTTAGTATTCAAAATTCAATGTTCAAAGTATACATGTTTTCAAAATTAATTTCTGATTTTTGAGGTATTTATCTTTTTAAGATTTTTGAGATATCTATTCTATATATGGAAATAAAAAAAATATTTTCAATCAAAGAATTTATCTGGGTGATCAAAAAATTTTGAATTTTTAAGTAAAATTAAATTGTCTTCTATAAAAAATTATTTTGATTTTTAGGTTCCAAAATATTTTGACTTATTATAATAGTCTATTTTATATACAAGTATAGTTCAAAGCACATTTATAGATTTAAAAATTTGAATTTTAAACACTAATCTTTTCACTTTTTAACTTTTATCAATTTTTTTAAATTTTTTAAAACAAATATAAATTATTTGTTTCAAAATTTTTATTAATTAGAAAAAAAACATTCAAGTTGAATTATATAACTTTTTATATTATTAAAGACTTGTAAAATCCATTTCATTTTTGCAAGGACTTATTCAAACATTATATTACAAATAATTTAATTTATAGTAAATAATATTTAGACTAACTTCTAAGAGACATATATACACTAGTTAAATACAAAAGAATCACTGTATCAAATAATAATTCCTATATTATAGATCAGTTAAAAACACTGGTCGAAAATTGATAAAATTAACTGTCCTATTATATCATATATTATAAATCAGTTAAAATCAGAATTTCTTTTGATACAGTAATTCTTTTATATTTAACTTGTAGTATAACTTATTAACAGATAAAAACATCTGCTCTAGTATATTAAGGTTTTACTAAACAACTTGAAACATTTCTTCTTTACAATATTTTATAATAAAGTTGTATTTATATTATGAGCAATTTATTAATATTACTATTATTCCTATAATTAAAGTAAATAACTCACTCAAATATTTTATTACAAAGTATCTATGAAAAAAAATAATAATAATTATAAAAATATTATCTATAAAATCAAATACTATTTATAGTTTAACTTGAAATCCTATAATTATAGAAGTTTTTTTTATATAGTATAAATAGGTATTAGTTTTATAAAATATATAATTATAAAAGAGGTGTAACTATTAAATTATCACTAGTTAAATACAAAAAATTACTGTATCAAATAATAATTCTTATATTATAGATCAGTAAAAATCAGTAAAAATCAATAAAAATTAACTGTTCTATTGTATTAATTAACTAAAATTAGAATTCTTTTTTTGATATAACAATTCTTTGTATTTAGCTTGTGTATATAGAAATAACTATATAGAAATCAGATTGTATATACAAGAACAATAAAAAAAATTTCTATTTGTATAAAAATATAAATAATATTTAAAATTTTATATATAATTTTATATAAATTATTTTTATATTATATTTTAAATTTTTATTTTTATTTTTATTTTTTTTTTGTTCCAACAAGGTTTTGTCTCAAATTTATTAATTAGAAAAAGAGAAAGTTTTTTACATTACATAGGATTACATAATACAAAATACACAACTTATTCTAATGTTTATTTGAAAAGATGAGACTCGAACTAACTCATAAGAGATAGGCTTGCAACCTACCACCTGATATTTTAAATTTTTATACTTTTTAAAAAAATTATTTATATATATAATAATAATATAATTATTTTGACCAATGTAATTATTTTAACTGATGTATAAATATTATACATATTTTTAAAATTGATTTGAATTTTTGAGATATTTTGTTCTTTCAAACTTTATAAAAAATTTATTCTATATGATATTTTAAAATAATTTATTAAAAAATATTAGTATTAGTAATTTAAATAATTATTCAATTATATTAATAATCTTTTCATGTGATCAGAATTATATTAACTAATTAGAATTGTATCAGAATTTAATTAGAATTTAGTTTTTGAGTTAGAATTTAATCATTTAACTCTATTTGACTATTTTAATTAGGAGAAAACTAATTAGTTAGAAGTGTAACTATTAAATTAGACTTATACTTACTATTGTTACTATACTTGTATGTAAAATTATTTTGAAATTTCAAAATTACAATTTTAAAAAAAAGTCAAAATAATTTTCATAGAAGATAAAATTATTTTACTTAAAACTTGAAATTTTTTAACTATCTAGATAAATTCTTTGATTAAAGATACACTTAACTAGGTATTTTTTTACTTCTATATATAAAATAAATTCTGAGTAAATCTCAAAAAGACAAAATATTTCAAAAATCAGAAATTAATTTGGGAACATTAATACTGACATAATATATAATATAATAATTACTAATAGTTGAAAAATAATATTTTAATTTTAATTATTAAATGTTAACACATTTAGAAATAATTAGTAACATCTCAAATAGCATATTAATTAAATAAATAAGTAATACAAAGTTATGTGTTCACATGATATTTAATTATATAAAGATTTTTATTATTGTATAATATTAATTATTATCATATATTATTATTTAATAACAATTATTAACATATATTATTATTTAATATTAGATATATTTAATAAGTAATATGGTAAAATAATAACTATTAAGATTAGTGCACAGTAAGACACAGTAATAAAGATCATTAATTTAATATAAAAAGGAAAAGAATTTACCTTGTTCTTTTTAGTATAGTTATAGTATTAAGTAATTAGTTTACAATTTGTAAATTTTGAATTTTATAATTTTATAATTTATAATTTCAAGATAAAAACTTGTAACCATTACTTTGTAATTGAATTAATAAAATAAATATTAGAAATATAAAATAAAAATCATAAAAATAATTATTAAATATAAAAATATAATACATCAGGAATTTTATAGAGACTATATTTGTACGCAAAATTATTTTGAAACTTCAAAATTGCAATTTTGAAAAAAAAAAGTTAAAATAATTTTTCATAGAAGACAAAATTATTTTACTTAAAACCTGAAATTTTTTGACTATTCAGATTTATTCTTTGATTAAAGATATATTGTTAATTGTGATCCAACCTTCAAGAGATATGATTAACTATTAGCCAAAGATACTATAGCTAAACTAAAATATAATAAACTACTAACTAATTTATAATAAAAAATATGATATTTGAAGGATTTAGATATTGTGAATTGTTCGAAAGAGACAAGGCTATGAGATTTTTATAAGGATTTAACTAAACTATTCACAAAGAATATAACTAAACTAAACTAAACTAATAATTCTTAACACTAAGTAGAGAATTATAACACAAAAACTGTAACCAAGATCACAAAGCAAGGTATAATTCAATAAGAGTTTCAGTATTTCACCAAGGAATAATACAGAATTTTACTAAAAAATTATAATGGTATAAATAATAATTCATACAGATATTTATTTATAAGACAAATTACAAAATATTTTATTAACAAGAATTGAATTAGAACTGGAACTCAATTGAACTTAATCACACTTAAACTAAACTAAAGACTGAGCAAAGAGAAATTCAACCTTTTATATATATAATTGAAATTATAATAGATTACACTGTAGACTATACTAATGCATACATTATTAATTACACTGATGTATACACTATCAACTACACTTTCTACTACACTACCTATTACACTATTCATTATACTATTGATTACACTGTACATTACACTATTGATTACACTCAGATCTACAGTTGTAATATCTAATACACTGGTCGAAAATTGATAAAACATATACATATCAGGTACCCGATATGTGTATGGTGTTTCCCTAATATCGGGCATATATCGGGCACCCGATAAGTGTAGAAAATATTTTTTTACACTTATCAGGTATCCGATATATATATAAAATATTTTCTACACATATCGGGTACCCGATATATACCCGATATTAGGAAAATACCATGCACATATCGGGTACCCGATATATGTATATTTTATCAATTTTCGACTAGTGTATTACTGTATTATTACTATGCCTTGCTGTACTTTACTGTACACTTCTCCTATTGGTTACTATTTCTTTATACTATTTATTAAATATATTTAATACTAATTAATAATAAATATTACTAATTATTGTTAAATAATAATATATATTAATAATTAATATTATGAATTGATAATTATATGTATGTAACTAAATATCATATGAACACGTAATCTTGTACTACTATTCTGTGACTAATTAATGTGTGCTACAAACTATAAATATTAGTTGAAAGATTATTAAAGTGTTACTATTTGTTACATGAGTTAATATTTACTAATTAAATTTTTAAATACTGTTATTTTCTAAAATTATTATTAATTATTTGCTGATATTTCTAATATTATATACTATACTTTTTCATAATAATTTCATTTTGTAATAATATGATCTAAATTATAAGTAAGAATAAAATTTAGTGCAATTTCGAGATCTCACCCTAATACATTATTTAATGCTTTGTTCATAAGAACACATTCAGATGCAGTATCTGAAAATATCTCTGAAATATCTATATTTTCTATTTTACATTGTATATTTTCAAGAGATTCAACCTATTTATTTTTTGTTAATGAATTGATAATTTTTTCTCATAATGTTAAAGATAATAATTGAAATAATTGACATCTGATTCTGAAAAAAGTTTAGATTCTTTATTCAAAAATTTATGTGAGCCAGTTTCTAATTGTAATATCTTATCTATTAGTGATAATATCCTTTTTTTTTTATTTGAAGATTGGCTCACATTAGAATTATCATCATACCATATATTATCTTCTTCATTATTCCTTAATCTGTAGGGAATTACAAGTAAATCTACTTGCTAAAATTGAAAATTTTATGTCATAGATATAATTTTTATTTAAGTTTATTTTTGTTAAAAAAATTTTATTCACGAATAGCTTATCATGTGAAATATGCATTATAATTATTTTTATTTTTTTATTATTAATAATTTCCAATTTTAATAGACTAACATGTTTTAAAATTTTTTTTTCATTTTTTACTATTGTTATTCTTTTTAATTATTGATTGTAGCTATATATATCTTAGATCAAAATTAATTTTATTTACTTTATAACTCTACTTAATAATTTAAAAATAATTAAATTGTGAAATTTTGATTTTCCTTAGTGACAAAAAATCTAATTATTTTAAAAAATTACTTTAAATCCAAGAAAATTTTTTATAATTTTTAATTTTATTTAATTTTATTTTTTATTTATTTTTTTTTTAACTTTTTTATTTATTTCTTCTTTTAATTGGTCTTTTTTTTTCAAAGTTGAGTTTCAGAAATTCATGATGATGAATGATAAATGAATGGATAAATGAAAAAGTAGATGAATAGTTTGATAATTCATGAAATTAAGTTTTTTTATATTTTTTTATTTATTTCTTTTAATTGATTTTTACTTTTCTTTTTAAAATTGAGTTTTAGAAGTTGAATAATTTGATAATTTATGATAAAATTTTTTATTTATTTCTTTTAATTAATTTTTACTTTCTTTTTAAAATCAGGTTTTGAAAATAATTCATAATAAAATTAGTTAAATTTTTTTTTCATATTTTTTTATTTATTTTCTTTTAAAATCGAATTTCAAAAATTTGCAATAATGAATGATGGATAGATGGATAAATGAAAAAACAGATGGATAATTCAATAATTCATGATAAAATTAAATAAATTTATTTATTTGTTAATTTTTTATTTATTTCTTTTAA